ATTAATTTAAAAAAAAAGAAGAAGAAGAAGAGGAGAAGGAGGAGGAGAAGAAGAAGAAGAAGATTAATTTTAAAAAAAAAGAAGAAGAAGAAGAGGAGAAGGAGGAGGAGGATGAGGAGAAGAAGAAGAAGAAGAACAACAACAACAACAACAAGAAATATCACTATCGATTGAAAAGAGCTAAAACAGAAAGCTTGATTCCTGGATAAAGTATCAGGGACTGAAGGGTATCAAATGAAGAAGAACATGATAAAGCATAACATGCCAGATTCTTGGTTCAGAAGAGAAGCAAACTTGATGAAGTGGCTTGGCAGTAGGGATGGCCTAGTGCTAGAAACATTCATAGGTAACCACAGGTGAACTGCTAGGTTAGGTTGAAAAAATACAAAACGTTAATTCGTGTAAACTTGGACATCATACAGATGGTCTAATGAGCTGTATAAAGATGAAGTGAACTTGAAGGTTCAATAGCGGAAAACCCGTGGTTAAACTTGATCTATCAGCACAGGTTGGAATTAACAGATTACTAATTTAAGAATCAACATTAGGGCATATCAGGCACACCCACAGATGCTCCGTCTCCCACAGCAAACGTTGCACGGTGTAGATGTTGACTGTTTCAGTAGCACACTGGTTGTACTGCACCTCTCACACGTAATTTTTTGTTGGATCCACACTTAATTCATGCAACCTTACACATGTTGTTTCATCTAACGTTGAATTAAGAGAGATATGGTAAGCTAGTGGCGTAATACATGGTTTAAAAAAAAAGTATTTGCATATCTTTTATAGGACATTAGAAACCAACCCCCAGCATAAAATACATCGGTAACTAAAGAATTAAAACTGATAAACCTGATTGATTAGCAATGTTGATGGATTAGCACAGGTAAACAAATGAATTAGCAACAACAAAATTTATGAATTAGGACATATATATTGATGGATGAATCAGTGTGGATCAGTAATAAAAGAACAAGTTATGCATTAAAAAGATGAGTTGATTCAAGAACAGACATCACAGCACTCAGGGCATTCCCATAAGTGCTCTGTCCCCATCTTCAGCAGCCAGCAAAGAGTTCTGATACTAATTGTGCCAGTAGCATTCTGATTCAACATCCGTCTTGCCTTTCCTCTAAGCCTCGAGCCTCTGCCAGAACCTCTCGTCACTTCCCCCATTTCAATCTCACCAGACTGTGGTGATCCATCTGCTCCTCCGAACTGTACATGCTCTCGCCAGTCTGTCCGCCTGTTCATTTCCAGCACACACCAGCATAACCCGGTGAAAAAATCCATACAATACATTAAAACAAAAAACCATTTTCTGACTAAAAAATGCGGGAAACTCAAATCCATGAAACGTATGTCTGCTATAGATTCTGATTCTATAGATTCCTTTTTTAAAATCATTTACTATAGTAATTGCATAGCTAAATGAAATGGTCTTTAATTTTTTCCCTGTTGCTGTTGCTGGTTTTTTTTTTTTTAAATTAGTAAATCATGTAGTAAAATATTTTTTCATAATCTGTTTCACGTGCAAATTATATAGTCTTCACAGAAAGTTTTAAAACTGTGAAAGTTAACACTCAATGAAATCTTCGGAACAAGAATTGATAAGTGCAGACAAAATAAAATCACAATATATAAACTATCACAGCTATGGAGAACAAGGCCAATAACAACATTGATATTTATTTGTTGTTGCAAAATGTCATCATCCTGTTCTTTATCATTTAATGATGAAAGCAAACAGTGAACAAAATTACCAGAGGTAAAGTGTAAAATAGCATTAGATTCATTCTACTGTATTCTGTTTCATTTCTTGACGTGTAAAATAGCATTAGATTCACTCTACTGTATTCTGTTTCATTTCTTGATGTGTAAAATAGCAATAGATTCACTCTACCTTATTCTGTTTCATTTCTTGGCGTGTAAAATAGCATTAGATTCATTCTACTGTATTCTGTTTCATTTCTTGACGTGTAAAATAGCATTAGATTCACTCTACCTTATTCTGTTTCATTTCTTGACGTGTAAAATAGCATTAGATTCATTCTACTGTATTCTGTTTCATTTCTTGATGTGTAAAATAGCATTAGATTCACTCTACCTTATTCTGTTTAATTTCTTGACGTGTAAAATAGCATTAGATTCATTCTACTGTATTCTGTTTCATTTCTTGATGTGTAAAATAGCAATAGATTCACTCTACCTTATTCTGTTTCATTTCTTGACGTGTAAAATAGCATTAGATTCATTCTACTGTATTCTGTTTCATTTCTTGACGAGTAAAATAGCATTTAGATTCACTCTACTGTATTCTGTTTCATTTCTTGATGTGTAAAATAGCAATAGATTCACTCTACCTTATTCTGTTTCATTTCTTGACGTGTAAAATAGCATTAGATTCATTCTACTGTATTCTGTTTCATTTCTTGATGTGTAAAATAGCAATAGATTCACTCTACCTTATTCTGTTTCATTTCTTGACGTGTAAAATAGCATTAGATTCATTCTACTGTATTCTGTTTCATTTCTTGACGAGTAAAATAGCATTTAGATTCACTCTACTGTATTCTGTTTCATTTCTTGATGTGTAAAATAGCAATAGATTCACTCTACCTTATTCTGTTTCATTTCTTGACGTGTAAAATAGCATTAGATTCATTCTACTGTATTCTGTTTCATGTCCTTCACCATAGCCTAACAATTCGTTACCAAGTAATCTGAGGTCAATTTTTCTAACATCATCTTTAAATTGTTGATTGCATGAAAATCATAGTGATGATATAAACTTCTCCTGAGAACTTGTTAATAAATTAAAACAATTATTTTTTAAAATTCTTCTGATGTCCTCCATACTCTTTCAGTCCGCAACAAAAGTGCAATATGTGGTTTGCTCTCTCTTGTGTCACGTCGTCATCCCCATGTGGGATCAATGTTTTAATTATTTTGAAGCCCCACCCTGGCTTTGCGTGGGATCCTAAATATAGCTGGGCCTTAAATAAGGCCTAACGGCTGAACGGGGTTTCCGGGACCTCTCCACGGGTGATCCTCATTCGCATGGTGGCACTGTGTCACTGGGTGTTTATCGCTTGTGTGATGTCCTGGTGGGGTACAACTTACTGACCTACTTCTCTTGTGTGTGTCCCAACCATCATATAATATGTTGCTGTATTGTTAACATTTAATCACTTGCATCCTCAGTTACCATATTTCTCAAACAAATTGAGAAAATATTTAACTTCTTGAAAAGTATGCATTTGTTATTATTTTTCCTTCAGAATCTGTTGCAAACCTGTCTGCAACTGAAACAGATCAGCAATTGTATGTTTTGGGCCAGAATTTGAGCAACAGCAAATGCAGTTTTGACTTGCTTGATTTACCTGGTTTGAATAAGGAGCATAAGTACGGCTAAATCTAGCAGCTTGAGCAAACACCTTGGTTCTTAGCCTAGTTCCCAGAATATTCTATCTATAGTAAACTAATATACAAGTATACTGGGAACTACATTTGACCTAAAAAATATATAATTAGGCCTATTTGGCAAAATGCAAGGATAAAGTAATAAAACTAATACAATTGAAAATCAACATTGTAAATTACTCTTGAGGATGACTTTTGACCAATCATCCATAATTAATTTTATTGGACAATTATAATTCACCATAAATGTAGTTTTATTTCCTACCAATGCCTTTATGCAGAGCACAAGGCAACATGTTTATATTAATTGCACTAACAGAGTTACAAATGGCATGGATGTTTGAATCCAGTTTGCATGAACAAGGAGATTTCCAAGAAGATGACAGAAGGAAGTTTGAAACAAGATCTGAACATGATACATTGATGCACGGAGTTGACAATAAAGGTTGGGGATTTTAAAAAGCAGAAGCAACAATGAGCCGGCAGCAATGTTCATTACAAGTTGAAGAGAGTAGGACAAGATTAAAAATAAGATAGTTCCATGATGTCACAATGGCTCCAGTTAACGAACCTGTGAAAGGAAACATCTGAAGATCAATCACAAGTGTGACACTTGTCTACCCTGATAGAACCAAAACCACCTACCAGTCCCCCCCCCCCCCCCCCCCCCACTTTTGTTTAAAGTCACTGAAGAATGAATACCTTGAATCAACTGGGGTCTACAACAACAACAAAAAGTCATTTTAGGAAAAGAAAGGCAGCATTATTTTTACAGTTTGAAATATTGGATTCCTCAGGGTTTAAAAAATATAAAAAATTGATACACTTTGTGCAATATGTAAAGACAGCTTCCACAAGAAATAGTTTACATTGTTTTTAAGGCTGACTGCTGCACATTCCTTTCATGGCAAGAGAAGATTACAAGTTGCTGATCTGAAAAAAAGATACAGGAATCTACAGTTTTGATTATCTACAAGATGTTCCGCCAGTCAGCCAAACAAATGTCATCTTCACAGTGAAAGTTAGCTGTAGTGAAATTCCAACTCTTCTGTCTCATAAGCTGTTGTTCTGGTTGCATATATTTTACAAGTTTTTACAGGTCAGAGAGAGGAAATATGTCCCATAGAAGCAACTGTGCAATCACAGCATGCTGTCTGTGATCCAGGCCTGAAAAGATGCATAGCAAATGTTGATCTCTGAAGAAGAAGAATTCCAACACACTGATGTTTGTCCATCTCTTGTTACGATTTTGTTCACAGTATCTCAGGCTTCTTCTATTTTTGGCTCTTTTAAATGTTCTTCAAGTGTGGTTTTTATTGGTGACATAATCTGTAGATAAGTCTGTTTTGGGGTAAGTTTTTTTTTTTAATGTACACGAGCTCACAGGTCGACCCAGACTAACTAGGGTCCTAGGAAATGTTCTGTGAAATAAAGGAAGCCTGTGTGATAATGAACCCATTACTAATCAAGTGCTGAGTTGTCTTTCAACAATATGGGGGCTAGTTCTCATTAGCTTGCACAATCAAGAAAAATTTCAGATCAGAAAAAATAAAAATGACTAAGTTAATCCAGCATTACATATGCTGGCCAAAACGGGAAGCCTTGAAACCAGAAGGGCGCATGCGTTTGTTTCTGCCGTTGCTGCCCTTGGCGTGGCTTTGATATTCTCTAACCTTGTTTTGACGTTCACATTTACTTTTGCTGATCAGTTTCTTCACTTGGATGCACTGCAAACGCTGAGCCACATGGATGTCTTTCAGCAGTTGCTGTGGTGAAAGCAGACCTTGGTTGGCTGCTGCATGGAATTGGGTATTAGGCTGCTGTATGGCATGAGATCTGGCCTCATTGTGATTTCCTCTGTTGGAGATCTGATCACTCAGTACCTGATCTTCATTGCCTTCTACTGTTTCTGTGTCCTCCCTCAGACTGTTGGTAAAGGTTTGGCCTAATGGATGACTGGAGAGGAAAGGGAGGGAAGGGGGGAATGAGAGGTAAACTGACATGGATGGATGCTCGATCAGTAAGTTTTCAAGTGGACTTGAGGCAACAGGTGATAATCCTCCAACTTGGGATCCGGTAAAACAAGGTGGGGGAGCCACAACCCAGGGCTCACTGCGGCTGCCACAAGGATGGTAGGTTGCATGAGATCGGCCAGAACAGGCAGAAAACACAGACTCAGGCAAGGATTCAGTGTCCGAGTATCTATCAGTATCTTGGTTGACCCTTCCACAGTCATGAAGAGGCGAAAGAATATATTCTGAGTAAGCATCCATGTCAGATGTTGGATGACAAAGGTCATCCATGGATATACTTTGAGCAGCTAAGGCAGCAGCATCATCTAGAAACTCAGTGTCAGAAGCATTAGATGAGTTCTGAGACAGTGAGTCTTGTCCGGAATGACCCTGCTGAGTGTGGTGAGCATAACCACGATGATGATGATGTATTTGCTGGTGACGTTGTCCAGGCTGTCCACTGTTCTCTTTATCTGCACAGACAAATGAACATGTATCAGAGCTGTAAATGATGGAATCTTGAACAGACAAATGAACATGTATCAGAGCTATCAATGATGGAATCTTGAACAGACAAATGAACATGTATCAGAGCTATCAATGATGGAATCTTGAACAGACAAATGAACATGTATCAGAGCTATCAATGATGGAATCTTGAACAGACAAATGAACATGTATCAGAGCTATCAATGATGCAATCTTGAACAGACAAATGAACATGTATCAGAGCTATCAATGATGGAATCTTGAACAGACAAATGAACATGTATCAGAGCTATAAATGATGCAATCTTGAACAGACAAATGAACATGTATCAGAGCTATAAATGATGCAATCTTGAACAGACAAATGCAACTATTTGACACAAAATAGCCAGTGACTCAATTCCAATTAATGTTGTTCTTTTGTTGCAGGCAATTGTTATTTTGTTTGGACAGTTAACAACAAAACTGTGGATGGTATAAGTAGAAGTAATAATTTTCTGGCATTGAAACAAGTTAAGAGAAAAAGTCTTATATTCTGGTCATAAATGACGTCACTAATGAAATTTAGCATTGTCTCTGCTGAAGAAAGTGTTTCAGGATTGGCTGATCAAAAAAATTAGTTTTATTTTTTCAGGGTGTGGAAACCAAAATGTTTTACTCTGAAATTTTTGTTCAGAAACCAAAACTGTCACAGAAGGACGACTTTAGAGGACAGAGGGTTCACTGTAAAGGGTTACTTATGAAACATGAGTAAAGTGGCTTGCCAACAATAAGCCAGGTACATGCGCTTATCCCCAATTACCATATTCCCCCAAGTAAAAGATGATCCCATGTATAAGACACACCTTGGTTTTGGCATCAGATATTTTCTAAAAACAAATAAATAATATGATTACATTAAGTTACTGAACTCACATTTTATTCACCAGAGAATTTAGAAAACTCATCACTGTCGAAACTCTCATTCATAAGACAATTCTTTAGCTTGTCCGTGTCCGTGTCTGATGATCCATCAGTCTTCATATATTGCCTCATCCTGTTTCAAATCAGGCTATTTCACCGACTTGCCTTTCATGGCCTTCTTCCGTAGAGTTTCTTCTTCCCGCAACCCTTTCATGGCTTTCCTTCATAGAGTTTCTTCTTCCCGCAACCCTTTCATGGCCTTTTTCCATAGAGTTTCTTCTTCCCGCAACCCTTTCATGGCCTTCTTCCGTAGAGTTTCTTCTTCTCGCAACCCTTTCATGGCCTTTTTCCGTAGAGTTTCTTCTTCCCGCAACCTTTTCATGGCCTTCTTCTGTAGAGTTTCTTCTTCCCGCAACCCTTTCATGGCCTTCTTCTGTAGAGTTTCTTCTTCCCGCAACCCTTTCATGGCTTTCTTCTGTAGAGTTTCTTCTTCCTCCAACCCTTTCATGGCTTTCTTCCATAGAGTTTCTTCTTCCCGCAACCCTTTCATTGCCTTCTTCCGTAGAGTTTCTTCTTCCCGCAACCCTTTCATGGCCTTTTTCCGTAGAGTTTTTTCTTCCCGCAACCCTTTCATGGCCTTTTTCCGTAGAGTTTCTTCTTCCCGCAACCTTTTCATGGCCTTCTTCCGTAGAGTTTCTTCTTCCCGCAACCCTTCCATGGCCTTCTTCCGTAGAGTTTCTTCTTCACGCAACCCTTTCATGGCCTTCTTCCGTAGAGTTTCTTCTTCCCGCAACCCTTCCATGGCCTTCTTCCGTAGAGTTTCTTCTTCCCGCAACCCTTTCATGGCCTTCTATCGTAGAGTTCTTCTTCCCGCAACCAGTCTCAGATTGTTTTCTCAGTTAAAGGATGACAAAATTTACATTCGGTAGTACGACTTCCATTCACTCTTGCAAACTAGATCAATTTTAACTTGAACTCAGCACTGTACAAAAATATTTTCTGAGATATTTATGGGCACAACCTAACCTATGTAACAAGTACAAAACAACCAGCACAAAAACTATTACAGCCATAAAGAACTAATTTAATCAATGTTTTCCATTTTTTGGAAACTGGCATTCCTAAATGAGGCCCTGTACAGGATGTTTTTTAACAAATCATTTGGTAAAAATCTACCACCATTGCAAAAGATGCACACTGTTTATAGACTCTATATTTTTGGAAAATACTATGGGGAACATAGTAAGTTCTGATGTATTGACAGTTGCTCTGAGCTTCTCCGTAGTAAATCCATCAGCACAGAGAATGGAGAATCTGCTCACTCCTGTCTGAATTAGTCTTGCCAGATATAGCACTTTCCATTGAGCTTGCTACCTTCTTTGCTAACAGAAGGAGGGAGAGAAAAAAGGAAATGAAAAAGGAAGAAGCAAGAGAAAAAGAAGGGGAGGAGGAAAAACCAGATCAAATATGGAAATACTGAGCTTTAAATAAGAAGTACCAGAAAATAAATAGAAATGAAAAAACAAACTGCTTCAGTTTGTCACCTTACCGTCAGCGTTAACAACCAGCCAATCCTCTTCCTGCTGCACGTCGAGATGCTCTCCTGTGCCATGCTGCTGCTTCAGCTTGCCGCTGTCTGTGTACTCCTGCCCATGTTCTGAATTGCTGCCCCAAAGGTATTTGGCTACTGAGTTGAACATGTTGGCTGTGGTGAATAAAACAATGTTACAATACATAAGATAAGGCTTCAATCTTCTTTAACTGCTGTTAAAATAGTATGTTTGCTTATGATCTTTAGTAAGTAAGTAAATTTTACCCGGCCAGATCATCGAACAGAGCGACAAACACTCGGTGACACAAAATGCCACCATGCGGTTGAGGATCACCTGTGGAGAGGTTCCAGAAACAGCATTCAACATCAAGCTATATTGCAGCCCTCTGCAAAAGCCAGGGTGGGGCTTCAAAATAACGAAAAACTGCATCCCACATGGTTGTTGTTGTTGTTGTTGTTGTTATCGATCCAGCGGCGCATGAGCTTTCGCCCTTTGGCCCAATGCCATGTAGTGGAATTTGCATGTTTTCACAAGCTGTTCTTTTCCTCCGTACAAGGTGTTCCACTTGTCTGGTCTCGGAGGGAGTAGCGTTCTTCTTGTCTCACTGAGTTTTGGGCACTCAAAGAGATGGTGTTCAACAGTTTCGTAGGGGTAGTTACATAGCTGGCACTCTGGGGAGTGTTGTGGCTGTATTCTGTTTAGGTGTCCATTGAGTGGAGTATGTTGCGTTCTAAGTCTGAAGATGGTGGCCTGGTCCCTTCTTGTTAGATGGTTAATGCTGTCATTAGGATCAGGGCCAGACATATGTCTATAAACCTCTCTTCCAGTGTCTCCCATGGCCCATCTGTTCAACCAAGTCTCTTTGTTTATAGCTCTTATCAGTGTTTTTGCTGTCTGGAGGGTTGTCGCTGTAGGTGGTTGTTCTTGTGTTGCTCCTTTCTTTGCCAATCTGTCAGCTCTGTCATTACCTGGTGTGCCGGAGTGACCTGGAATCCACTGCATCACTATTCTGATGTTGTATGAGGTAATAAGATGATCGGCATCCAGGATTATCTTGGCTATGTCAGTTCTGCAGCGTTCATTGCCCTCCAGAGCTTGAAGGGCAGACATTGAATCTGTAAAGATGACAATATTTTGGACCTTTGAGGGGTAAACATCCATTACAGTCTTTAGGTGGTATACTGCTGTTTCCAGTGCAATTATTTCAGCTTCATAGTTTGAACAGAATTCCCCGCATGCATCAAAAATCTCTTCAACAGATCCATCGGGATAACCTATGTAGATTCCGTAACCTGCTTTAATGGTAGCTTTAAATGCTGATCCATCAGTATAGACATGTATCCATTCTTGGGGGTAAGAATCAACGGTCTTTAGTGATGAGTTCATAAGAGCGATTGGGTCGGACTGTTTGGTTTCCTCGCCTACCAATTTAGTTTGGACTTCTGGAGCTTTAAAGCGAGCATGTGGTGGTAGGTTTTTTGCAACATTCTGAATTCCTTGACGTCTTTCTGGGAGGTGGTATCTGTCCTGAATTTCATTTACACAGTGTAAAACCGATTTGTGCTTTATTCTTTGTTTGGATTCCCAGTTTTCTACAAGATGTCTATTAGGATGGTTACGATTTTTCCTAACGCATCTTTCATAAATTTCTAAAGTGGCTTTTTCTCTCCGCAACCCAAGGGGTTCCACATTTGTATGGATTTCACATGCAGCAGTTGGTGTAGACTGCATAGCTCCGCAGATTAATCGGAGGGCATTATTTTGTACTCTGTCAAGAGTCTCTAGGTTAGTTTTGGAACAAGTTGTAAGCAGTGAGTTGTTGTACTCTATCACAGAGCGAACATATCCTAGGTATAAGCCCCTCAGAGTTTCCTTGTCTGATCCCCATGATGTACCTGCAAGTCTCTTTAATAACTGTAACCGCCTCAATGCCTTATTCCTGATGTTTTCAATATGGTTCTTGAGGCTGAGCTGCGGGTCAAGTGTGACTCCAAGGTATGTGGGATGCTCTTCTTTCATCACTTGGTGTTTGTCTAACCTCAGGTTAATATTCTTCCTTGCTACTTGGTGGCTTTTGGTAAAGATTGTGTAGACCGTCTTTGCACAGTTAATCTTGAGTTTCCATCTTTGGCAGTAATCATGCAGTCTTCTAAGGTCTCCATTCAGTCTTTGGGCTCCACTTTCCACATTTTCATGACTCTGCCATATTGCTAGGTCATCAGCGTACAAGGCTTTTTCGGCCTTGATTTGTTCTGGCAGGTCATTGATAAAGATTAGGAATAGTGTACAGCTCAATGATGAGCCTTGTGGCAAGCCCTCCTCCAAGACTTCTTTAGAAGAGATTGCGTTGTGCATCTTAGTCTGGATTGTTCTATCTATCAGGAAGTATTTCACCCAGTTATACAATCTGCCATGTATTCCTATGCTCATCATCTTCATCAGGAGACCTTTTCTCCATACTCTGTCATAGGCCTGCTGGAGGTCGACAAAGACTGCCACTGTGTGTTTCTTATTCTGGAAGCCATCATGTATTCTTTGTGTCAGTCTGAACAGCTGGTCTTCTGTGCAGCTGTTGGTTCTGAAGCCTGCCTGTTCATGGCATAGAACACCAGAACTCTCAAGGAACCAATATAAGCGCCTGTTTATCATTCTTTCTGCAACTTTGCCCAAGCATGATGTTAAGGATATCGGGCGGTAGCTTTTGGGGTCATCTGGAGGCTTTTTGGTTTTAAGGATGGGGACGATATATGCATTCCTCCATGCCCTTGGAAGTTTGCTTGACCTCCAAGTTTTATTAATAAGCCTGAGAACTACTTCTCTCCCAGACCGGCCAAGATGTAGCAGCATTTCGTTGTGGATCTTATCTGGGCCTGGAGATTTTCTAGGTTTTAATTTCTTCAGGGCTTGCTCTAATTCATCCATGCTAAATTCATTTTCAAAAAGGGAGTCGCTGGCTGTTGGAGCTCTCTCTTGTTTCTTCAACTGAGAGAGCTGTGTTCTATCGAGTTCTGACAGCTTACCTGCTCTGTTAACCGAGGCAAAATAATGATTGAAATGTTCTGCTTTCTTCTTGTCTTCAGTGATTGTCTTACTCCCATCTGTCACTGTTTTGGGTTCACCCTTCTACTTTCTCCGGAGAGGTTTTTAACTAAAGTCCATGCTTTATTTCCATTCTGTCTAAGGTCTAAGTTGGAGCAAGTTTCTGTCCATTTATCTCTTTTAGCCTTATTAACTACAAGCTTTACTCTGGCACATGCTTTATTATATTGGATCTTTGCTTCTGTTGAACGTGCAGTTTCGAGAAATATTCTTGCTTTATTCCTTTCAGATATAGTATTTTGAATTTCTTGATTCCAAAAAGGTTTATATGCCTTCCGGCTGCCCCTTGGGATGGCTTTCGACGCTGCATTCAGGATTGCTTGTGTTATGTCTTCACAAAAAGTTTCCACACAGCTGTTGTCAATTCTTCCCAGGAGGCAGTCAGATGTTTCCTGAAATAGTTTCCAGTTTGCTTTTCGGAAATTCCAACGGGTTCTCTGCTTGAAGCGTAATTTAGGGGTGGTGCTTACAGTTGTGAGTATAGGTTTGTGGTCACTTCCTATGTCGTCCAGGACTTGGGGATAGCTTGCGTCTGCTAAGTCGGATGAGCAGATGGTCAGGTCTGGTCTGCTGAGAGATAGGTGGGCCCTGTGTAACAGTGTAGGTGTAGACTCTGTGTCCTGCAGCACTAATAGGTTAGTTGTTTCACAAGTATCTTCGATGTACTTCCCTGTGCTATTGTAGTCAGGGTAACCCCAACGTGGCGAGTGTCCGTTGAAGTCACCAACAAGAAGGGTTTTATGGTACTGTGTCTTGTATAGTTCTGGTATGTTGCATGTTGTCTGAGGTGGGCTGTACACGTTGTATATCGTGTATTTGCTTCCATTGTGCCAGATAGTTATTTTTTGCACATCTGTAGGGTGAGATGTCGACAGCATTGTTACATCTCCTTGTATGTCATTTCTGATATAGGTCACTATGCCCCGGCAGTCATTGCACTTACAGGCATAACTAGTATATCCAGTGAGATGCAGATCAGAGTCTTTATGCAGGGTTTCTTGTAGGGCAGCCACGTGTACCCTGTGGTTGTTTAGCAGTTTGGCAAGTTCAAGTTTCTTATTTCTTATTCCACAGATGTTCAGCTGCAGAATATTGAGCATCTGTGTATTTTTTGCTGTGCTGTCTGAGTTCTTTTTGCTCTCCCTCCCACTCTTCCTCCTCCTGGGGTGTCTGTTTTCCCTATTTATTTCAAATTTTCCAGTAGCCAATTTTTCGCACATGACAGCCTGGTTTCCCACTGTCTGGCGCGGGCCTTGATAGACGAGGCGACGACCGATCTCGTATGTATTCTTAAATTTTGACATATTCATGGCATTGTGGTGCTGGGGTGTCTGTGGATTACCTACCTCCCCGGGCAGCAGCTAGAAATGCCCTGTACCAGTTCTAAAGGAAATATGGGTTGTGTTTCTGCCTTTCCCTTTTACACGTAGCTAAGGTGGGGCTCACAGTGTGCTCATTCCCCGCCACCAGATTGCCTGCAGGTTTCGCTGAGCTCTTCATGTCTCTAAGCATGGCCTAAGCATGAGTAGTTGGGGCAACTGGATCGTCACGTCCTGAGTCCCTGTGCCTTCACGATAGTTTCCGGTATTCAGGGGGGTTAGCATACTTGTTTCCATTCCTAAGACTGTTCAGCACACCTCTGGCTCCTTCCCTCCCACAGGGGGCAGTACGGTGTGGTGCACCGGGTTTATTATCGAGGTTTGCTCCTCTAGATCCATTGTGTTTTGCCTGGGGATTCGCACCCCCAGTTACCGGGACTACCTCGGGGAGGCTGTGACTCTTCGCCACGCACAATGGTCTTGAGGTAAGAGAGGTTTTGCTAGGTCAAGAGGCTGACACCACAATGGACGCTCCTTTCGTGAACAGATATTCACTAGACCTAGGGTGAAGTAAGGGGGGGAACCCACTACCCACAACACCAACACTTCTTACCCCCTGCCTCTCGAGGCTCAGTCCCGCATCCCACATGGAGATGATGTTTTTAATGAATATTCTTTAAACTGCACTGGTTTTATGTCTACTCAAGTTATCATCTAACTCTTTCCCCC